CAGGACCTGCAAACCAGAGCAAAAGTAACCTTCAGTTTCAGTATGAGCAAGACATGAGCTTCATTTCTGATCACGGCTTCAGGGCAGAAACCACAGCTAAATATAAACATGTGAGAGTTAGAGCACCAGAGAAACCTCATATCACAATACAAGTCCTGCAGTATCCTGATAATGACGTACAGTGGTGAGCATCTCACAGATCTCTCTCTTACTGGATTATTCTCTGCAGGATGCTCTACAGTAATACATTACTAACACACTAACATTACAGTACCAAACGTTACTACACAAGCTGGGGAAATATTAAATATTAAAGACATCATTTCTAATGCTATTTCATGTGTCTAGTATGTATCTTGATTTAAAAATATTTATATATTTGGATGACTTGCCTAATTACCCTAACTTTACCCTAATTACCCTAGTGAAGTCTTTACATGCCACTGTAAGCTGAACACTAGTGTCTTGAAGAACATCTAGACTAATATTATGTGCTGTCATCATGATGAAGAGGAAACACATCAGCTATTAGAGATGAGTTATTAACACTGTTATGTACAAAAAAGTGCTGAAAACAAAAATATGGATGAATAAAATTAACAGGAGGGCGAATAACTCCAATACTTCAGCTGTATATCACTATATTACCTTTCCTCTTCTTGCCCTTCTGCTCAGTCTTGTTTTCCGCAGGTGAAGGTGTTTTCTTGGCGCTCAGGTCGATGCCTAAGAGACTGAAGAGTTTCTGTCTGTCTGGAGCTGGAAAATGCTTCTCCACCAGAGACTGCAGCACACCCCTACAAACAAACAAACAAACAAACAAACACAAACACACACACACACACACACACACACACACACACACACACAGCATTAATAAAACAGCAGCATTAATAAAAACACACCAGACGCTTTCCTGATGTAAACTAAATCCACTATTAAAGGTTTCTGCAGGTTTCACCAAGTTAAATTTAAGACTGTTTAAGACATTTTAAGACCATTATGAACAAAATTTAAGACTTACACAAGGACAAATGCTAAGCATTTTTCCCCCCAATATCCCAGTTAGAAATGAGTTTCACTTGGCCTATCAAAAACTAAATTAAATACATTTATTAATACAATAAAAATACATTAGTTTGAATATATATATATATAAAAAATTTTCAAATATATCCATTCACAAACCCTATAACCCTTACCAATTGAACAAAAGCATAGCTGTCAATTACTTCAGTCTACAATATTAATAATTTAATAATAAAAAATGTAGGTCAGGTCAGGTCAGTATCCTCAGCAGTAAATAAATGGAAAACTTTTGAACAAATGTTACTGTAGGAAAGTAATTTAATGCTATTTTTAAATAAAAAGTTAGGTTTTATTGAGATGGATTGTTGGCGATTGTATGGGTTTTAATGGCCAGATTGTGTAGCTATGCATAAATAAAGGAAAATTGAGACCAGTTAAAAAAGATTTAGGACCTACAACACAACAATTCAGTACAATTCAGACTCTCTTTGCGCGATAATGTTTTTGCTATTAATCTATTCTTAAAGTTGGGTTGTGAGCTGGGTCTATTCTCCGCAAGCTATGATGACGTTCACCTTGATATTTTAGTGTGGATGTATAAATGACCAGTGAGCCGTCTCACAAATCAGTGCTCTTCTGAATCACATCAGCAGGATGCCCTTCTGGATCTTTCACTTACTTCAAAGACACTCCTGACTACGCTTACATGCATTTACTCTGTTTTATCTGAAATCAGTGCATTTTAAACCTTGAAAACAGATGAAAATTCAAGTATTATAAAGGATTTCCAGCACCAACCCTGACGGAATGAATTACTTCAGCTTAAAATGTTTAATTTTGACTCACTTTGCAGTGGACACAAAGTCATTGAGTTCTCCTCCTCCCTCCTCCAGAGCCTCCAGGGTTCGAGCTTCTCCAGTGGACTGCAGGCCAATCACCACACACTGCCGGAAGGTCAACGGTAAATAAATAACACAATAAACAGTGCTTTTGGGTTTACTACTACTACTTTACAGTCTAACAGTATTTAAGCACAGAAATTGAACAATCCAACATAAAATAACAGGCTAATCGTTGTATAGATAATTACACATATTTAATAGCATCGTTATCTGTTAATCTTTACTAAATAATCTACTCCTGAAATGTGACTATTGCGGATGCACACAGCGATGTCAATGCTCAAACCAGATACTGTTCAGCCCTATTTTAGAGCAGACTTCAGTACTATTGGGCTTAATCTCAAAGTATGAGCGAGCGCAGCCACTGGACTCTTTCTGGCTCCAGACTCTCTCTTCCATTGACGTTTCAACATTAAAAGCAGCTCCTTGTATACAAACTGGTCTTTTTTTATTATATTATTCCACCTTTTGTGTATAGTCATGAGCACAGTTGTTTGTAGAGCGAGCAGTTTGAGTGTTATTCAGCCGTTTCTCCCATAGGAAACTGAACCGGAAGTTCTAAAACAATCCAGATAATGAGCTTCCACTTCCACACTGCAGAAGGAGCTCGGTAAGAGAGTGTGTTCTGACCTTGCCGTTCTTGACGTCCTCTCGGGCGAGCTGCACCACACGTCGCACTTTAGAGGCGATGCACAGGTACTTGAAGAAGCGCTGGTGTGCCGACCAGAACTGACCCCACATGGACTTCTTCATCCGCTGCTCCGCATCCATCAGCTGAGCCGCCTGCTGGAACTTCTCTCTCGCGCTCACCCACTGGAGCAGAGCGAAACACGGCAGATTAACAACAGCTATTATGACTAGAGAAAGCATGTCATCTTGTGTTCGTAATGGTGTCTTTGTATTTCATGTTGTATCTCCTCTTGTGGCTGTTAAAGGAACTGCAGCAATCGTGAATTAAAAAAAAATATTATTAAAAAAAGGCAATTAGACTTAATAATTAATACAAAAAAAAATGAACAAATGGTTAGGCTTATAATGGTTAAATAACCTAATAGCTGTTATTTAATCTGCAATTTAATCTGGATTTTTAACAGCTATAACAGATGTATTTATTACAGAAAATGATCATGCGTTAGTAATAGAGCCTCTATTTCGTTTATACGCCTCCCTTGTGGCTGTTAAAGGAACTACAGCAATCGTGGTTTAAATAACTGCAATATGACGGTAATTTAATAACTGCAAATATATATATTTTTGGTTAGTCCTGTTGTTATTATTAAATAACCCCCTAATTAGACGATTATTTAATAAATTGTGATTAATAAAAACAGTCTAACTGGGGTTATCTGATCTGCAAAGGCTGTAGTTCATTTAATAGCTACAACAGATGCATTCATTACTGAAAGTTGTCTTGCAGTTGTCGTTGCGTCTCTGTATTTCGTGATTATGTCTCCCCTAGTGGCTGTTAAAGGAACTCCAGCAATCGTGGATAAATAACTATGATTAGATGATTTAGTAATTTGACAGAAATAATGGTCTAATTACAGTTATTTAATCTGCAATTGCTGAAGTTCATCTAATAGCTACAACAGATGCATTTGTTACAGAATTATCGTGTGTTTATAACAGCGCCTTTTATGTGTCCACCTTGTGGACCTGTTAAAGGAACTCCGGCAATCGTGGATTAGATAACTGAAATTAGATGGTTACATAACGCAAAATGACCACAATTAGACAATTATTCAATAATCACGACAGAAATAGAGAACTTCATTTTCAGTTAAAGTCTGTCGCCACTTTACGTCTCCCCTTGAGGCTGTTAAAGGAACTGCACGGATTTAATAATGATCTTTAAAGCTGAACATATCGTTAAGGGGATAAAGACAGTCACATTTAAATATGGATGCCCCTTAATGTTACTATTTTCAGGAAAAAATGCCCCCAAACACACAAACAAACATTATTAATAGAGAACTTAAGTGAGTTTTATTATTTCAAACTGTTTCATAAAAGCTTGTTTTTTTTTAATAATGACTTTCATCTTGGAGATGTAAAAACACACTGTGCAATTGCTTTGCAAAAGTTGTCTTTTCATAAGACTAATCAGCGGTGCAAACATCTCCAGAATAGTGCAACCAGCAGAGGAGTGTGTTTTCTGCAGTGTTACGCACCAGTCGCACTGCTTTGTTGTACATCTTGATGTAGTCCAGCGTCAGAGGAACTTCCTCGATCTTAAACGTCACGCCTGTGAAGCTCAGCTGCCGAGCAATGTACATCCCTCTCAGCTTCATATCCATGGCAACAATCTCCATGGCGCCCACACCTCTGAACAAACACACCCAATCAGATGCTTTCAGAGCGGAGACGCTTATACTGAAGAACAAGGTCACACACACACACACACACACACACACACAATCTCTCTAACACACACGCGGTCACATACGCACACTCGCAACCTCACAGTCAACCACACAGTCACACACACATTCACTTGAACACTTGCACACTCATTCACATGCACGCACACAAACACACACACACACTCTCCCTCAAACATACAATCTCTCTGTCACACACACATTTACAAACACACACACACGCATTCACAAACACACACACACTCACCGTCTCTCCACAGCTTGGATGAAGTTTGCAAATTCCCTGAATGGAGTTCCCTCCCCCCAGATGCCCAGGCGATTCATGTAGGCCATATTGCGGGGTTCAGACGCTCCTACACACACACACACACACACACACACACACACACACACACACACACACACACACACACACACACGTACAAACAGACACAGAAATAAACAGAATGCACACATGCTGAGATCTGCTCCAGGATACTGAAGTGTAAACACAAACCTGTGGCGCTAGCGTACACGACTCGTGCCTTCGGCAGCTTGTTTTGCAGCTCTAACACTGCCAATCCCGTCTTGGTGGGTTTGGAGGATCCGATCGGACAAACGTTTTTGGCTTTGTGACACTCGTCAAACACAATCTGAGGCGCTCAGTCAAGGGAATCAGACATTATTATAGTGAAAATGTCTCTTTGGTTCTGTCCACATGCAGTGAAACTCACAGATCTTCAAGTCTAGCAGTAGTCAAATGGCCTGAACAAAACACTCCATATGCACCAGACACTTTCCTGAACTTAGCCTACCTCTGCATTACACTCGTGTGACAAAGACTGTTGGTGCAAACCCGCTCAGAGATGATAAATGTTGCTTACCTTATTGTTAAAATTTAAACTATAACAGGCAACGATAAAACAACCCAGCGATAAACCACATCGACAAACTTATTGATGATAAAACGAGTCGACGATAAACTACAAAAAAAAAAAGTTGACAAACAAGTCGACAGTAAATCAAGTTGCTGCTAAACGAGTGAACAATAAACTACAATAAAAAAAAATTTAACAATGAATGAGTTGACAAACTAACTGACAATAAACGAGTGGACAAATGACGATAAATGAGAACAAGTTGATGATAAACAGGTCAAAAATAAAAGTCGATAAACGAGTCGACAAAAGGAGTGGACAATTAGTCAGCGATGAACAAGTTGACAAACCTATTGACAACAAACAAGTTGATATTAAACTAAAAGCAGACAATAAACGAGTCGACAAACTAATTGGTGATAAAACTGGTCGAAGATAAAATGAGTTAAACTAAAATAAAAAAAGTCGACAATAAACTATAATAAGTTGACAAAATAAGTTGACAAACCAGTTGACGATAAACGAGTCGACAAACTAATTGACGATAATACAAGTTGGAGATAAAACAAGTCAACGATAAACTACAATAAAAAAAAAGTTTACAATATACAAGTTGACTAACTAATTGACAACGAAAGTTGATAAATTAATCGACAACAAACGAGTGGACAAATGACGATAAATGAGAACAAGTTGATGACAAACGAGTCAGCGATAAACAAGTTGACAAATGATAAAAAAAGTTAACAATAAACAACAAATAGGTTGACAAACAACAATAAATGAGTTGATAATAAACAATGATAAACAAGTAGTCAATAAATCAAAGATAAACACAAGTTGACGATAAATGAGTCGACATAAAAGGAGATGATAAATGACAATAAACCAGTCGACGATCAACGTAACCCTAAAATCATCAAGGGTAAATTTGATAAATCACACAGCCAATTATTAATTAGGATTGTGGCTACTGATCTTTCTGTAAATCAACAAACCCAGATTATAGTGATGTAAAGGATACGACGCCGTCAAAGTCGTCTCCACACCAGTGCAGGAGCTGCTTAAACCTGGTCTTGTATTTTCCTCCAGACTGACTCTCTCCAATCAGAGATGAGTATGTGGCAAAGATCACGCCTTTCTTCACACTGCCGTTGTGTTTGGAGGAAATCTTTCCGTATTTAAACTGAAACCGAAATACATGAATATATTCAATTATTCTACTCAAACACACACGCATCATATATGCGAGTCATAACAGAAGTGTTTGGCAAGTTACTTACATTAAAGTTCCATTGAAAATAACTTTCATTACAGAAAAGTAACTAATTAAATTAAAAGTAATTTCATTAGTTTACCGTTTAGGCAAGGCAAGTTTATTTCTATAGCACATTACATAAATGATGTCAATTCAAAGTGCTTTATAAATACACAAGACTAAAACATAATAGACTATGAACAATATTTAAAATAAAAAATAAATCAAATGCTAAATGCAAAGATAAGAACATTTACATTTCAGCCAAGAAGCACCATTTAGATTTATTAAAAAATATATACTAAAATTAAATAAATTTAAATAAAAAAACCTTTCATACATTTACTGTTTTTAATTTCTGGCTCATTCATTGTTTAAGCAGGTTTAATGTAACCTTCTCTGGCTAAAAATTGAGTATTCTGCAGAATATTTTGGATGTTGTTCCTCTGCTCCTCATTTATCCAGAACCGTTGAGCTCATTAACAGAATTAAGGGCAAGTGCATTACAAGTAACTGATTACATTACAATAAAACAACCCATTACAATACTTGTGGCACAGTAATCTAATTGCATACCTTGTTTAGTGAATGAACCTGAATGTTTTTCGCGCCGATGTCCCTCAAGTCTCTTTCTGCATCATATTTCAAATCATTGGAGACACTAAACCTGGACAGAGAAGTAATGGAAAGATATAAAAATAATGATAAGAATTATGATTATGATTATGATTATTATTATAGCACAATTATAATTTAAGGCAAAATTACTTCACCTGTGAAAATTGTATTCTTTCTAAAATATTTCCCAAGTGTTGTTTAACAGAGCAACGAAATGTTCACAGTACTTCCTATATTATTCTTTCTTCTAGATAAAGTCGTATTTGTTTGAGTTTGGATGGAATAAAAGCTGTTTTTTATTTTTTTATTATTATCCCAGTTATAAAGAAAATAAAGGTTTTTTTTTTTTAGAAAAAGTTAGGCTACACAACGAACCACTGCTAAATAATGACTTGCTAGATTAACATAGTTAAGCCTTTAAATGTCACTTTAAGCTGAATACTAGTATCCTGCAAAATAAATATCATGTGCTGCCATCATGGCAAAGACAAAAAATAGTGATTCGAAATGAGTTATCATGCTGAAAATGTGTAATATGAACATGCAGTCTCAGTAAAACACTCAGGAAATATTTTAAATAATCATCATTTTCAGCCGGCTGAATAATTCAGGCTCGACCCGTCCACACACAGAGAAGCGCTGTTTACCAGAGAGATCTTTTCCTGCCCAGAAGGTAATTCTCATATATGATTCCAGCAATGGTTCTGCCCTTTCCCACTCCAGCACCGTCTCCTATCAGATACGCCGCTCGGTCCCCATTCGGCAGGAACGTCTCGTGTTGCTGGGAAAATATTCAAAACGGAGAGCTCAAATACAGTGAAGGGTTGGCATCTCAGCGGCACGCATGAAGCAAATGCAGTAATGCGGTAATGCACTCCTGGCCCTGCTTAGAGCTGGCATTAAAGGTGCAGCATGTAGCATTGACACCCCGTGGCTGAACCGGTTGCCATATTGAAGACAAATAGGAGCGAGTGAGGTGTGTGAATGCAGCGAAGGGCAGAGCAGCACCTGTGCAGCGTAGGTGACGGCCTCCAGCTGCAGCGCAGACAGCCAGCCCCGGTCGATGGTCTCCTCTGGGATGGAGAGTCTGTACCAAACATCCGGAGGGTTCACGCTGGACAGAGAACTGGTCTCCACCACGGGGTCAGGGTGCCGCAGACCGATACGCACTGAAAGAGCAGAGCAGAGTTGTGTCAACTGATGATAGTATGGCAAATAAAAATAGAGCACTAATGTTTTATATTGTTTATTAACATAAACAGACATTTGCAAAAATAGTTTAAACAATTAAACACATTTAAAAGCACTGTAGCAGTCAACAAACACATAAAATAAGTGATTAATGTATATGATCATATAACAGGAAGGTATCAGAAATACGGGGAACACTTCACTTGAAGGGGAGTTCATGAAAGCTTTATAATCATGATGTGACCTGTCATGAATGTGAATGAGATTCTATGCATGCTTATAACAGCTGCAACAGTTGACATTGTTTGCTATGACTTGACGAACAATTACAACCGTTCATGTCATTGTCATGACGTCACCAAAACATGTCATAAATCTGTCATAAACATGATCGTCAAAGCCGATCATAATCAGTCATGTTTTATAACAGCATCATTAGTACTTTCACTTTACCTCAGCAACAGTGGTACAGCTGGATTGGTTAAAAAATGTTATTAAATATTAATGACGCTCTTATAAAACGATTTGATGAAGTAACAACACTTTTAATGAGGCGTTCAAATGACAAAAACAGTTTGCTTTACTGAAAACATGATCAGAAAAATATTCATGACAATTATAATGCCTCGTCACAATCACTTTATGACGGATTATGCGGTCTCGGTAATGTCAAGTTGTCATGACAAAGACAAAAACAGGTTGTGATGCATTTGTTTATGCAAAGTTGTCAGAAACAATGTCTTCTTTGTATTTAAAATGACATAACGGAGCAAATGACACATAAAAGCAGTTATAAGCATGCATAAAGCTCATCTGTCATGTCACGATTTCTAAGGTTTCATGACAGTCTTATGAAGACCCCTTCAAGAACATTGCTACCAAAATAGTTTAATACATTAATGACACTTTATAGTGTAATTTAAGTTTCTTTATTTCACCACTTTCAAATAGAAGTGTCCTCAGTAATAAAGTTAACTTGTATGCATAATCCGATAATAAAATCAGGTGCACAGATACTGCAAATCTGCATTTACTGTGCGATGTTTAAAGCATGCCACTCAACATCCCATATTGATTTAACTATATATTGTGCAGCTACAACATTTACCACAGAACACCATCACTGCTCGATATGTTTAATGCATTAATGCTCATGAGTGTGCCGGTGTATAATATGCATCATCAGTACTGTGAATACTGAATCTCACTTTCCACAGAGCATCCAGAACTCACTGATTTCACACTCAAACTGCAGCAGGTCATGCACAAAATGTCGAATCTGTGCACAAAATTAGCTCTGATGACATGCTTATGTTGTGAGAGATGATCTAAATATTCATAACGTCAGAAAAGTCTGTACTGCAGCTCTGCAAACAAGCTGAGGAATTTAATCTTGAATTATTTAGCACATATATTGTACATACGCTTCATTGGCATGTATTCGGCATACGTCTCTGCATGGCCGAGCTCCTCCTCTTCCTCCTCCTCTGGCTCCTCTTCCTCCTTCATTCCTGGTAGTTTCTACAATAAAAGTAAAATAAATCAGTATATTTTTGGGTGCTTCAGCTGTCGAATGGCTTTTTTTAGATGGCTGTTGCAATGCTTTCCAGCAGAACTACTAATGACCTTAACTCAAATCAAAACATCAGAAATCTCTGAAATATAATGCACAAAAAGAGTGTTGATTTTTAAAACTTCTCATGTGCTTCATTTATTTATACATTTTATATTAATTGTTTATTTTGTATTATTTATATCTATTTATTATTTGTTTTATAAATGTATTCATTTTAATTAGTTTAAAGTTATTTATTGATTTCTAATATTAATCACACGTTTTTGTTTGTTTGATTGCTGATGCTTCAATGCTTCAGAATAAGTTAGAAATTTTTCTTTTCATGTTTTAATTCTGATTTAAAGAGAAAGTGGTGGCAATTAACAAGTTTTTATAATTTTATAAGTAAATTTACAATTTTAAGGTTTCATTAGCTAACATTAGTTATGTATTTACCAACACAAACTAATAAATAATACTCATTCAGCATTTATTAATCATATTTTTGACATTCACTAATGCATTATTAATATCTAAATTCAAGCTTGTTATAATTAGTTAATGCACTGTCAATTAACATCAACTTAATTTTCATAAACTAACAAAAAAATTTATAAACACTAATAAATGCATTGTTCATTATTTATGTTAGTAAATACATTAAATAACATTAATTAATACACAGGGGTTATAAGTAAAATTGAGGCATTTTTTCATTAAACTCTTAGAGCACTTTACATACATATTCACCAAATTATACCAATTATAATGCCAATTATTATATTATTCTGTAGTTTGTTTGTTTTTTTGCCATGTTTGTCTAAAGCCCAACACTAACTTACCATCGTTTACTCTCTTAAATGTAATTTACTTGCATCTTAAACTTCTTTCAAAATTTAAATATTTAAAAATCATAATAAAATTAAAAATCATAAAAATCAAAATCATCAACATTTATTATAATAATTAAACACACTCCAGCAGATCAAATAAATAAATGCAAAGCGCTTTATTTAATTTGACTTTAAACAGTTAATTGTGATTACCAACTTAGCAAGATAAATTACTATGAAAGCAACACAATTATATTCCCAAACACGTTATTGAAAAATCTAAGCTATTATAAAATAGTAAACCGTAAAGTACAAACATTTCAATGATTTCAAGTACCTGTACCAACCCAGTGCATGACCTCATGCTGTAAATAAACAAACACGTACATTTACAGGTGAGAAGCTGCGCATTTTCATGTCATCGTTGATCCAGATTCTTGCTACATCTTTGCTGGACACTTCTTTCTTCAAGCCGTTGTTTACTTCCGCTGCAGAAAACAAAAACAGATGAAGAGCGTTAGAGATATGACTGAAAGCAGCTTGTGTGAAATGAGTTGCTCCACCACACCACCTGTGAGAAGAACCTGCAGGTAATAATAAAACCCTACCCATACCTGATCTGCTCATCATCTTAGTGGAGACCAGAATAATCTCTGAAAAGAAGAGCAGCGGCGTTAAAGACAACAGCAGCATCCAAAACACAAGCTTTAAAATCACAGAGGAGAACACAAACAAACGCTTTCATATTGCAGCAACACACGTCTCAGAGGAGGAGCTGTAAAAAACACCTTCAGTGGATGAGTTTACATGGGCTGCCATGAAAATGACATGAAAAATTGATGATTGTCAATCTTCAACACTTCGGTGCAGATTTAAGCTTATAAGTCTCATTTTAAAGACTACAGAGGTCAGATTGAAGCTGAAATAAAGAAAGAAAAAAAATTAAAAAGTTTTCCAAAACAACAGTTATGTGCCTTTACGCTGATAACAATAATAAAATGAGCAAATATTTTAACATATTAAATAAAATGCATATTTTACAAACAGGCTTTAGTTTTAAATGAGCAGAATATCAAGGGTAATTATCTGAAGGAACTACATTCCAAATTTAAAGTTGACATCTGCAAAAATGAGCTTTCAGTGAGATTGAATTTGGCTGCAGTACCAAACATGACCACATTCAGTTTACATTGATGGCCATACAAGAGCGCCCCCTATATTTTGAGGAATATTAATCATATTTGTTTCATACTTTTAACAATATTCGTAAAGTAGACATTCAATGCTAAAGTAGTAGAAGCAGTTTGGTGGATTTGTTTTGAATTTAGCCTCTAAAAACATCTAAAAAACTTCACGTGGATTGCTGTAGCAAAGTAATGCTTTACGACTCTAAGTATCCTTGTTGCATATTAATAAACAACCAATGATCAGTAATATCACAAATCAGTCACCAGATATGAAAGATTAGATTGATCCACACAGCAGTGATCGCCGCTGTCGTTTATGAGGGTCATTTGTCGGTGAACAGCACCAAAGCCAATCGCAGCCCTGTCTGTTGAGCTTGTGATTCATCATAGGGCTGTAAGAACTCGCTAGACAAGACTCAGAAAGCAAGCGGGATTTTTAGATTTGCTTATTTGCTATAAATGCTCATGCTGTTCTGTGCATGTACTTGAGTTTTTAAAGGTACAGTTTATACATCTGGCTGCTTGAATTAAATAACAAAAGTGTATATTGCATTACAAATAACAAATATATTTACACACTTTGATACTAGACTTGTTATGCTGTGAAGTAAAATATAACTGCATGCAAAGCATCGTCAATGCACCGTGATGAATCGATGGCATGATGATCAAAACCGAACCAAACCGTGAGAGTGATTATATTAATGTAAAGTCACACATGCAATAAAAGCAGAACAGTATGATTTATAAGCAAGCACACGCTACAAAACTTCCAGACTACTCTTTTTTTAATGAAGCATGGCATGATCAATTAAATCAGAATATTCTGCGCTGTATGCTGCTATACAAGCACGTTAAAGAGAGTTTGCAATAAGTATATTAAGTTACACTTACAATATCAATATTCTGCATGTTCATCATCATAATATATTGAATATGAATTATTGAATATCAGCGTATGCCTATTTACATTGAGTGAACGGTCTCTAATTCTGGCATGCGAGTTCCTCATTCTGAGGCAGAACCTGAGATCTGCAGTGCTAAAAGCTGCAGAGATGGAAACACTGAAAGAGGCCCAGGTAAATATATATATAGCATTATATTTCATGCACATATGTGTTGTATCTGCATTTAACTAGCAGCCAACTTGTCAAATCAAATTAATTCAGTACAATTTACAAACTTCCATCCGTTGGGTCATGTGACATTGAAGTAGATTTGCATGTTCAGCATTAATTAAATAAAGGTAGGCCATTTAGATAATGTGTTCAATATTCAATTAAAAATAAAGGGAGGAAAAGCTTTAATTCCACTCTTCTGTTCTACATTCTCAATTTCAACCAATTATGCAGAAAATAATTACACCAACACCTCTTAATAATGGGCTATATGGACACAGAGATTTAGTTTTCAGCCCGCCAGCCTCAGCGCTTCTGGTGACCTGCCTTTCCATTATAAAACTGCCACGTTCAAGGTCTGATTTCTTTAAAAATCAGTGATCTTCGCTGTCTGATACAGAATATAAAGTGGGTCTCAGACCAGACAAGAAGCACAGCATTCAATTATTTCCACCCGCCATGTCAAAGAGGGAGCGCTCGGCTCTTCATTCTCCTTAATTCAGCGGGAACAGTGAACCTGACAGTGGGTTAACAGAGCGTTGCACTCCTCAGCCGACACTGATTCTACATGCTGAATGGGGCTAACATGATCCAGCATTAACCTGACGGCTCGGTGTGTACTGGCCTTTAGTGGGCCACATGTTAAAAAGGTTGGTAACCAGTGTGCTAAAGGAACCAGACCCCCTCCTGCTAAAGCTTGTGTGTGTGTGTGTGTGTGTGTGTGTATCACTCACTAGTGCCAGTGGCGGTGGCGACAGGTGGTGCGATGTCTGCCGGGGGCTTCAGCTTCATTAGCTCCCCCAGACTGCTGCTCTTCAGGCTGCTGCTCCTCAGCAGGTCCTTCAGCCGGATCTGCTCAGTGTTTGCCGGAGCCGCAGTGCAGACGCTGGGAGAAGCGGAGCTGCGCTGTGCTGGAGAGGAGCTGTGCAGCACCTTGGTGACGGTGATGGTCTGTCTGGTGCTGCTGCCCGTCGAGGGTTTGGAGACCACGATGGTTCCCAGCGAAGGCAACTGATTCAGCTGATTCAGCACAAAGGTGGTGGTGGAGGGCTGAGGCTTCTCCTGCACACACAGGTTACGCACGTCAGTCTCATAAACAAAAATACAGTTAATCCATTATTTTACACAAGCATTTACCTGCTTATTCTGCTTTACCCACGCTCTCACCCGCCTACTGTTTTGCACACTTAAAATACTGAGTTCAAAACACGGGCTTAAACGGAGAAGCCAACATGAGAATGTGCATAAATACAGAGTAGGATAAACCCTTTAGTTCATAAGAGAGAATATGCATGACGTAAACAGCTGCAGTGAGGGAAGCGCCAGCGGTATCTGCGCTTCAGTGCTGTAGTCTTCACTCAGATGATCTGACAGATATAAATGTGTGTTTGAGGGTCTTCACCATGTTCATTACGCCTCGACAGGTACAGAGCCTGAACTGCTTCAAGATCTCTGCTTGGTCTTTTTGTCTAAGTGGGCAGTTTTAGGCTATTATGAGCCACAATCTGGACCAGTTTGACCAGTTAGACAAAGACTCCACACACACACACACACACACACACACACACACACACACACACACTTGATGCGGTGTGCAAAACTCACCCTGATTGTGACTGTAGGTGTTGGAGGAACTGGAGGATCAATCCTGACGACTCCTGAAGCTTCATTACTGAGACCGATGTCGAGTGCATTTAATGAGACCGGCTGGAAGAAAACAGTCCATCAATATATGCCATGATGAGAAAGATGTTTCAGCTCATACTGTTTCCCTGTATTTTTGCTGAATATATTATGCACAGTATTACTGTGCTGTTATGCAGAGCCATATCAGCAGCAATGAGTGCACAACGTCAAAAACATCCTCGACTTCATCATTCGATACTTTAATTGGTTTTACATGCTCACATTGAGTGTCTATTTACTTGTGTAAATGTGTGTAAATATATATTCGGTCAGTTCCTGAATTAATTTCAGTGTCATTATTGAACAATGTGCAAATGTTTATATGATTCATGTAGTGGAGTTTATAAAATAGTATTTTCTGTCTTTGAGCAGATATTAAATGAGATTTTGTTCATAAAACACATGTTCTAATTCTATTTGCATCCTAAATGTAAAATTAAAGAAACTATTTTTATCTCATGAGGTAATGCTTTAGTTGCTAAACTCTTGACATCATTCTACATCAATACGCTTTTTTACAAACATTGTGCAAAAATACCAAAACAATGTGCCTTGCCCAGCTCGTGACATGCATTTGAGACAGATCTGATGATGATGATGATGATAACACACGCAAAGCCAAACAAGGTGTGTGTCTGACCTGCTGTGAGGACACCAGAGGAACACTGTCCTGAACATCCACATCAAACAGGTCATTGGGGCAGATCCCACTCTCACTGAGAGCAGCCAGAAGCAAATCTTGACCAGGATCCATCGTCTGAAACACACATTACAGACATCAGAATCATCCTGCATGATCCCCAATACAACAACACACCTTTAAAATGACACAAACCCTGATTAAACACAGCACACATCTCATCCACTGTTGGCCTCAAGTTTCTCTGTGTTTTCAGCAAATGCAATGATTATCGCTGGCAAGTAGATAATCAGAGACACTAGAGGCCAGACTCCCATGCGGAAGGTCGCCGGTTCGATCCCAGCTCGGAGCGGGTTAGATGGTGTAGGACCGGCAGGGTTACATACAAATCTACATTTGCTGACAGACAGTTTGGGATTCTTATCAGAATTATGGAAATTATCAGCCCAATAAACTAGACATTTTTTAGTCTTCTGCCTCAGCCAGAATATAAACACACAGATAAACACATTAAGATCATTTACTTTAATCATTACTATCAGAATGTGAAGAGACTTCCAACACATGATTCAGAAGACAGTCACCTACTGCACCCTTTAGATCAGCCTGTGCTGAAGAGCTGCTGTCCTGTATATGGAGTAAAACACTAGATTATAGTGTGTGTGTGTGTGTGTGTGTGTGTGTGTGTGTGTGTAGGAATACTCTCACTGTGTTTACTGTGTTCTGACAGCTGAGGGGGCATTTAGAGTTTCACACACCGACCAAGGGAAGTGCACAAAGGTCTCTCTCTCTCACTCACTCACTCACACACACCACACACACACAC